TTGGCGCTCTTACTTGGTTTTATTTATAATTGTTTGGTGTCTTTTTTCAAAATGCCTGGAAGGGAACAACAGTTAGCATGTGCTTTACCAGAAAAGTGGAATCAGCTTTTTGGGAGCGCCGTCTACCATGTAACAAAAGGCTCTTGGTGCTAAAGTAACTACAAAAACTTAGCTTTATTGATTATAGTTAACTAGTAACACTCTATAAAGACACAACAAACCCTGCATAATGACAAACCACTAGTTGTTGACTTTATTCGATTGCGGTGACGTACTTTCCTTTAACGTTAAATTCCAGTTATATGACACAGCTTGTAAATTTTGTGCTGTTAGCGTGTGCCCTGACAAGAACGATTATATGTCGTTGTAATGGGGTCTCCTGCCGCCACACGTTGATATTGAATGACGCAACCTAGGTTTGGAGACTGAATCGTTGACTGCTTCACACGCATATCATAGTAGGGCCCTGAAAATGAAAAAGAAAGATGCGTCAAAATATATAAAAAACATTCAATCTCCTTTTAAGGCTTGTTCGAAGTTTTTGCCAAAAGGACCACAAAGCTTCGAGCGAAAAATCGTCCTGATCCTATAGATAGTGGCATTAGCCAGGAGACTTATGGATTCTCTGAAAGCACCACGACTAGGTGGGCTGCAACAATAAGTACATATACAGTTAAACATAATTTATTCACGCACGAATGAATGTTTGCGTTTCACAAATAGATTTTGTATCCTCAACTATAGTTGAGGATATATATATCATGAAGGCACAATATGTAGACAAGTTATGACAGCGTTCTTTTATAACAAATGCTCGCTCTTTTAGCACGCTTTGAAGAGCGGCGCGGGCCGCTATTACTCAGCGCCGTGCTTACACTGTGGTTTCACCGTTTGTGGACGCTTTGCGTACATTGTTCATCGGTAAACGGCATAATGGGAAACGGCGAGAGAAACAGAGTAACAGAGATCACGAGATACGCAAGGTAAAGTATCGAAAGATATATTCAAAAAAATGAAATGAAGTGAGAGCAAGAGAGAAAGTTGAAACGATGAAGCAACAAGTACAGGTATATAGATACAGAAATCGAAGATAGAGAAAGAAAGATACACCAGCGCCGCTGCTGCCTGTTGCCTTGCGGACTCATCTGGAGATGGGCTCCATGCTTCGTTACGTACAGTGCTGAAATTTCATGTCTATAACGACGAAGCGTCACACGCCGAACAGCACAAGCGACATCTGCAGTCGCAAATACTCCCCATCTGAGCATACGCGGCACCAGTGATGTGCCTGCCTTGCAATACTGATCTCTGTTTATCACCGCGGATGCAACAACCAATGCTTTGGCCGCCGAAAGTGCTCTGAATGATTTAGCGAAAAAAAAGCAAGCAATAGAAAATGAAGTGAACCCATCTTGCGCTGATGCTATATCACGAAGCGAAAATAAGCTTTGAGTAAAAAAGGCGCCTATCCGGAATGATGCTGGTTTCGCTTATTCCTTTAAATTCTATATTGTTGACAGCGCTTCGACGTCCAAAGCAGTCATCGCGACCACGGTGATAGTGAAGGGTAGAAACTGAAGTGCGGGCTCATCATTGACAACGCCCATTCTCAGATGTGGTGTATTTGCGACTGCAGTTGTCGCTCGCGCTGTTCTGAGCACGACGCTCCGTCGTTATAGACATGATAGTTGAGCACTCTACGTTTTTCAAGGCGATACTGAGACAGGCCTAGAGCGCAAGACGCCAATAAATACAGCAACAATGTGATGTAGTTCCCTGAAGTGTTTTCTAGCGCTCATCTGGAGCATGAAAACTTGCCCACTCAGTCAGAATTCTAGCGGAGGTGACATCCTAAAATATTGTGTTGAACTTGTTCTGGCGCTACCGAAGCAGACGAGGCAGCCGCTGTGACCGCGTGATCTTGCCTACGATGTCAAGCCGACGGTGACAACGTCTTTTACATTGGTGGGCTTCACGGCCAGTGTCCGTATCCCTGTCATGCCCGCAGCACTTACTTCACTTTGAGGTGACAGATAGCACAAAAAACGCTTAGTTTCCTAATGCGGCTGCGCTGCATTGTGCCAGAGTTTTGTAAGCTAACGTAAGATTGGATAAAAATAACTGTTAACCATCTTTCATAAAAACATCGAAATTGTTTTTATTTGCAGCATTGTTGCCCGCTCGACGCAAAACAGCGTTTCTCTCTCTCTCTCTTTCTGTGTGTGTGTGTGTGTGTGTGTGTGAATTGTTTCACATACTCTTTAACTATGGTGTCATGCCAGGTGGCTTTAGATGCACCTTGTTTGTTTGTTATTTGCACATGAGAGTGTTTCAGCCCCGTATCAACCTAGACTCTAGTGACCTGATTTATTTCACGCGAATGGCGTCTCTAAAGTGCGCATGAATCGATGTTAAAGAAAACCAGAATATGGTGTCGCTAATTAGGATGACCTGAAAGTCGAATCCATGACATGAAATTGCTTTGCGCTCAGTTTTGCATGAGCTCAAATTCACGAACTATGCGTCATATTATTTCGGAAAATAATTTTTCCGAAATACATTGGAACACGTTGCCGCGTTTTCTTCTTGGTGAAAATCTCGCACGCACACGCTGCCACGGAAACCAGCTGCTACCTTTACAAAACATTGCTTCAATGGACTCCTTTGTGCGGCTCTTTTGTATCGTTTGAAGCATCTGTCTCGCCCTTTAGTTTTTTTTTTAGTGTGAATACACTTTATAAGCGACCCCGAACCATCCACCGCCGTCGGTGGCGTCCGCAGTCTTCTCTCTACCTTTAAAAGAAAGAGGAGTTGGCGGGCCGCAGCGCGACGCTCTACCGAATAAGCCACGGACGCGACGCTGAAATCGGTGTCAGTAACGTGCCTTATATCTTTAACGCCGCTGCGCGCGTCACCCTCCCCCTTCGCTCGCTCCTCTGCCCTCCTCGATCGCTGCAGCTGCGCGCGCACCCCTTTCTCTCGCGCGCCCGCCTTCTCTCTCAGTCTCCCGTCGAGAGCGGGTCGTGCGATGGATGTCCCGGAGGCAACGCTACCATCAACAACGAATGCAGTAAAACCGAATGCCAGCACTGCACCCGTCGTTGGAGGTGACGGTACCACGGTGGTTTCGCCGACGTTGGAAGACGAGGCGGCGCTGCGAAGGGCTTGTGAGACCGAAAGTAAGCGAGCGAAGCGTTCAGCGGATGCCGAACTGCGTGCTCGCGAGGCCGAGTGCAAGCGAGCGAAGCGTGCAGAGGATGCCGAACTTCGCGCTCGCGAGGCCGAGGACAAGCGGGCGAAGCGTGCAGCGGATGATGAAGTGCGCGCTCGCGAGGCCGAGATGAGGCGTCAGCATCGAGCCGCGAACGCGGCCCAAGAAGCGGAACGACAACGCAAGCGTCAGGCGGAGAAGGGCGATGAAGGCCAGCGTCAAGACGCCGCTCGCAAACGCCAACGGCGAGTGGACGTTCCCGAAGCCGTTCGAGCCAGTGAACGTGCCGCGCGAGAGAGGGTGCGAGCCCTGGACTTTGCTTGTCTGGACGCGCGTTTCAAACGCGACTTTGTGGATCGCAGCTTCGGTCACAGCTGCGCCGTGTGTGACCGGCTGTGGTTCGATAACAACCTGAGCTGCATTTCCGGCGTGAGGAAGGAGACCAACAGGTTGAACGCGTTGCGGGTTCTTTGGAACGAGTTCGGAAGACGGTCGGGCAAACACCAATGCGACGACATGGATGCGCAAGACCCGCGGCTGGCTCCCTTCGGTGCGTTCTGTCTCTCGAGTTTCCGACCACTATCAACGGTGGCTTCATAGACTTGGCGTTCAGTAGGAACTGTACGGTCCGCTCCGTCTTGCCGGATCCGCTCACCGTACATTTCTCGGATCACAAAGCGCTGGTACTAACCGTGAGCTACAACGATAACTCGAATACGTGCTAATCTGTAGTTTAGTTTGTGTGTGTGTGTGTGTGACGCGCTCGCGATGTGTGCATTTAATGCATCGTACGAAAATCGTGAAGTGTAAATAAATAACACTTCGTATATAATGTATCTGTGTACAAATGCTTCATGACAAACAACACTTAAATTCATTAATTACACTTCAATCATCATCATCAGTAATAAAACTCGCAAGCATTTCCCCGAGGGTGAACATGGTTAAGTGCGAATGCTTGGGGTGATGCTTTGAGGTGGAGTAAAGTTAAAATCCGTTGGCGTTCGCCAGTGAGTTAACGTAAACTCCCCCGTGTGATCAAATTGCGATTCCCAGGAACCAATACACCATAAAGGCACCATAGTGTGAATTATAAATATAATAGTGCGAATTAATAAATACCCCTCATAGCATCACCCCGTGCATTCGCACTTAACTATGTTCACCCTCGGGGAAATGCATGGGAGTTTTTCTTTCTTGAATACGAGAATGCAACATGTTCGCCGGGACCTGCGCCATTGCTGAACCCTTTTCTTCTCTCCGAAGTAAATGTAGCTTCATTTCATCTTAATTTCACTCTGAAGCTCTCGATATGTGCGAAAAAGTATGGAAGTGATGAATTGCATATTTGACGTTTTAACACGCGCTCTGCTTTACATACTACTAGGATGGAGAAGTGTAGCTAAAAGTTATCATATAATGACGCAATAAGGAGGCAAGCTAGGGCAACACACACATCAATGAATTAAGAAAGTTTTGTAAGCCACAGATATTTATGACAGCAACCTAATTCTGCACGTTATAAGAGATGTCACCCTAAAAAACATGTAACTACTTTCGCTCATTCGTATTTGTAGAAAGCGTATCTGTGTGCGTGTAGTAACACGTTCGCCGAACGCGTTTGTCAATGCATTAACGTGTTTGTTGAAGCAAGTTTTGAATTTTAAGAAACATTGTTTTGATTTCATACCTTGACCGCCAGGTAGCAGTATTACATAGAAGATGCCACAGGTGTAGTTTTGGAATGAATAGAGCAGTGTTTCAAGTGATGTATTCATTGTAGAGCGTGCTGGAAAAGAAGAGAACAGATTCTTGATGTGTAAACTATTGTTACGAAGTGAAAGGAGATGAAGGAAATAATCAGCTGACAGGCGCGCGAGTGTGCCGATCAGCCATTGTGATTCTCGCTTGAGGTTGTTACTCTCTAATTGCGTTTATACAGAAGTCACTGACCCCGTAACATATTGGTGGAGGTGCTGGGTAACGATCAGGCAACGGAGCTCCGCAGCGGACACCGCATCGGTTTTCCATCCATGGCCAATGTTGAGCCCTCCGCGTCAACGTCAGCATCTCCGACGAACACGGCGTCGCAACCATACGTTTTGACGCCACTCAAGGATCCCGGTACATTTTGCGGGACCGATGGCGTCGACTTGGACGATTAGTTGGCCATGTTCGAACGAGTGAGTGTGCCGAACAGATGGGATCCCACACTTCAGTTGGCTAATGTGCTGCTTCACTTGAGAGGCACGACGAATGTGTGGTACGAAAACAACGAAGAACTCACAAGCTGGGACCAATGCAAAGAAAAGATGCGAGAGGTGTTTGGCGAAACCGCCAGTTGTAAGATTGCCGCCAAAAATTCATTGGCCTGCCGTGCCCGATCCCCAACGGAATCATACCTCGCATACATTTAAGACGTGCTGGCCCTCTGCCGAAAGGCCTAAAGCGACATGACAGTGGACAAGGTAGGGCATTATTTGAAAGGAATTGCCGGCGACGCGTTCAATCTCCTGCTGTGCAAGAACTGTTCCACCGTGGACGCGATCATCAAAGAGTGTTACCAGTTTGAGCAAGTAAAACGTCGCTGCATTCTGCAAACATTCGCCCGACTTCCAAACACTGCTTCAACATCGACTTGCGAGCACCAGTCCGCACCACAACGACCGTCGCTGCCGGAAGACCTGACACGCATGGTTCGTCGTGAAATTGAAGCAATGGCGCCTCGGCGTTCGATTCGCGCAGTACCGATACCACTCCTGTTACTGTTCCTCTTGTTCAAGCCATCGTGCGCCAGGAGCTTGAAAACATCGGAGTGCGTTCTGTGTGCCATGTCACCACCCACAGAGTCCGCGAACGCCCTTTCGCGATGCCCTCCTCTGACCGACGGTTTTTTCCACGTACTCTAAACCCGGCTGAGTGGCGAACTGCAGATGACCACCCTATATGTTTCAAGTGCCACCACGGTGGACATATTGCTTGTTACTGCCGCAATATATGGTCCTCGGCATCTCGAACAACGATCAATATTACCCGTTTCCACGGTACCTCCACACATTTTCATATGCCGAAGAGTCTCATGCCATTGACCATTCTCGGAACACATGGTACAGCCGCTCGCCTTCACCACGTGGGTAGCAGTCTTGTTCGCCGCAAATACGTCGTCCATCGCCCCGTTCGCCGCAGCCACGGCGCTTCTCGTCCCCCGTGGCTTCCGGCCGCATTGTCTCGGAAAACTGAGAAACGCAGCCCCCGGAGGTGATGCTGCATTGACGACTTCCGCAGCAAATCCTCTCTGCGCTCCTACCAGACGAAGTGTAATAGACGTTGACGTAGATGACGCACCTATACAAGTACTTGTAGACACCGGCGCGAGCATTTCGGTCATGAGTTCAAGCCTACGTACACGTTTAAAAAAAGTTCTGACACCAGCGACTGCACAAAGGCTCCGTGTGTCCGATGGCGGCATGCCGACGGTTCTCGGTTTCTGCGCTGTCCACTTCAGTATAAAGAACCACACTGCTTCTGTCATTTTAGCCGTGATTGACCACTGCCCTTATCACGTTATCCTAGGCCAGGACTTCTTGTCGAATCACTCTGCTCTTATCGATTGTGCTACCGGCGTCCTTCAGCTAGAACTGCCTCGGATTGTCGCTGAACGCCACACAGCCCCGCCGCGCCTGTGCTCTTTTCAGGATGTGCACTGTCAACTCAGGCAGCCACCTACGTCATTTTGACCCCAGTGCCACAGGTTCCTGATGATCAATATGTTCTCCTTCCTCTCGCCGACGTCCTCTTAGAGCGCAACATCGCCATTCCCCAAACGCTTGTGGCTGTCACTGACAACTGTACCTCGCTCCCACTTCTCAACTTCAGTATTTACTACCAAGTGCTTCCTCGTGGCATGTTCTTGGCTAGCGTATCCTATGCTGACGAATTCGAAATAGTGGCTCTCACCACTAAGAATGATTTACTTGAGTCTCCTGTAGCTAACAGCATCTGTTCTCTGCCGAGTCATTTCTCGAAGATGATTGCACCCGACCTCAATCCTGCGCAAGCCAACGACATCTATCGCCTTCTCGCGTCGTATACCGACATTTTTGATTTCGACGACAGACCTCTGCGGCAAACATCTACCGTTGAGCACCGTTTAAACACTGGTGACGCCAGTCCCATTTGCCGACGCTCCTATTGTGTCTTTCACACCGAGCACGGAGTTATCCAAGCGGAAGTTGACAAAATGCTCAACAAAGGTGTCACAGAACCATTAAGTAGTCCTTGGGCTTCCCCTGTTGTCCTTGTGAAAAAAAAGACGGTAACTAGCGCTTCTGCGTTGACTATCGCCACCTTAACAAGATCACGCAAAAAGACGTATACCCGCTACCACGCATCGATGACGCGTTGGACTGCCTGCACGGCGCTACGTACTTCTCGTCTATTGCTTCTAGGTCCGGCTACTGGCAGATTTCTGTCGATGAGATGGACCACGACAAGACGGCCTTCATTATACCGGATAATTTATACCAGTTTAAGGTGATGGCTTTTGGACTATGTAACGCCCCTGCCACATTCGAATGATTGATAGACTCTCTCTTGCGTGGTTATAAGTTTTCTATTGTCTCTGCTACCTAAACGATGTGATAGTCTTTTTATCTACTTTCGATAGCCACCTGACTCGTCTCACTGCAATTCTCACAGTCTTCAGAACAGCTGGGCTACAAATAAACTGTCCAGCCGACGCTCAAGGCGTCGTCCCATCGCCGCTGTCGTCCCACTTTGCCACTGTCAGATTACCATTCTGGACCATCTTGTAAACGCCGATGGCGTCCAACCAGATTCTGCAAAGATCAGCGCCATCCGTAGCTTTCCGGTGCCCTGTTCTTCATCTGACGTCTGGAGATTCTTTGGCTTATGTTACTACTTTTGTCGTTTTGTGAAAAACTTCGCCGACGTTGCCAAGCCACTCACAGATCTGCTGAAGAAGGATATTACATTCTCATGGGGCCCTGAGCAAGCTCATGTGTTCACCGCTCTCACCGGCTGCTTAACTACGTCCCCCCTACTTGCCCACTTTAATCCTTCTGCTGCCACAGAAGTTTGCACCAACGCCAGTGGCCACGGTCTTGGCGCAGTTCTCGCTCAGTGGCACCACGGCAGACAGTGCGTGATAGCTTACGCCAGTCGCCTGCTTTCTCCTCCTGAGAGGAATTATTTCATCACTGAGAGAGAGTGTTTAGCCTTAGTTTGGGCAGTCGCCAAGTTCCAGCCATATTTATATGCTCGCATGTTTTCCGTTTTTACGGACTGCCACGCCCTCTGCTGGCTGACTTCTCTGAAGGATCCGACTTGACGTCTGGGTCGCTGGACTTTGAGGCTTCAGGACTTTTCGTTTAGCGTCAGCTACAAGTCTGGCCATTTGCACAAGGACGCAGACTGTCTTTCTCGTCATCTGGTGGACCCTGCTGAATCCGTTGCGACGGACCTGTAGAGCAGCGTGATAGCGTTTACTGATATCAGCGATATGCGCATTGAACAACGACGGGATGAGTCAGTGCGCACTATCATCGACGCCATCCAGTCTGACAGCCATGATGCCGAATCCCGTATGTTCGTGCTAAATGACGGCATCCTCTACCGCCGCAACGTCAGCACTGAAGGCCCTGAGCTTCTGCTTGTCATTCCCCGTAATCTACCGCCTGCCATACTTGAACAACTTCAAGACGCACAAACAGCGGGACACCTAGGTGTTTTCCGCACATACGACCGCGTGCTACGTTGGTTCTTCTGGCCAGGACTGTACCTTACCGTGCGTCAATATGTAGCCACTTGCGACCTCTGCCAGCGCTGGAAAAGATCTTTTTTGCTGCCAGCTAGGCATCTTCACGCAATCGAAGTCCCTTCTGAACCATTTTATCGCGTGGGACTCGACCTTCTTGGCCCTTTTCCGGCGATGACACTGGAAAATAAATGGATCGCCGTCGCCACAGATTATGCGACCTGTTACGCGATAACAAAGGCCATGCCAACCAGTTCCGCCCCTGACGTCACAGATTTGATTCTTCATGACGTCATCTTACACCACGGTACACCCTGACAGCTGCTTATGGACCGCGGCCGCTCTTTCTTGTCCAAAGTTGTCGACGACCTCTTTCGATCGTGTGCCACAGCGCATAAGCTATCTACCGCCTACCACCCACAAACTAATGGCCTCACTGAACGTCTCAACCACACGCTCACAGAGATGCTTTTGACGTACGTCTCCGAAGATCATCGTGACTGGGACACCACGTTGGCGAATGCGACTTTCGCAGATAATTCAGCTCGACATGACAAGTCGGGATTCTCACCTTATCTTTTGTCTGGTCGCGACTCCATACTGTCATTTGAAACCACCTTACCTCTCAAGCCATCTGCTTGCAAGTACGCTTGCGAAGCCATTGATCGGGCTCACATGGCTCGTCAAGTTGCCCAGTCTCGTCTCACCAGGTCACAGGGTATGCAAAAAGGCCGCTACGACCACCGGCATCGTAATATAACGTTTGCCTCAGGTGACCACGAGCTCCTCTCGTCATCGTGTCGCCTTGTAGGTCTCTCCGAAAAAGTTTTGACTTGATACGCAGTACCCTACTTAGTCTTACGTCAAGTTAGCGACGTCAACTACGAGATAGCTCCATTTCACTCTAACACGTCACCAAGTTTGTCACTTGCTGATATTGTTTATGTTTCGCGCATGAAACCCTACTTCTGTCGCACTTCTTCAGATTCGCGCCGATCTTGGCGCTCCAACGC